TATCTTAGTGCTTTGAAGAAAAATTAAATGTATGGAGTATGTCCTGTTGGACTTCATGGAATTTTGTGCTCTTCTCCCTTCCCTGGTTGTAGGAAGCTCTGCTTGGGATATAGATAGATATATAGATATACAGTAACTCCTTACTTAATGTTATAGTTCTGTTCCTGAAAAATGATACTTTAAGCGATACATTGTGAAGCAAATCCAATTTCCCCATAAAAATTAATGTAAATGGGAGGGGGTTAGGTTCCAGGGAAAACAACAATTTAATACTGTACACAGCAATGATGATTGTGAAGCTTGGCTGAGGTGGTGGAGTCAGAGGGTGGGATATTTCCCGGGGAATGCCTTGCTGCTAAATGATGAACTAGCACTCGGCTCAGCCCTCAAGGGTTAACGTAGCCACACACTCTACAAGGCAGCAGGAATGGAGGGAGGAGACACAGCATGGCAACGGCTGCAAACATTCCCTGCAGAAACTGAACATGATGATGAACCCACGCTATCCCACTGGAGCGCACCACTCCCTCCACTTCCCAAAGTGTCTGGGGAGTGCAGGTGTGAGAGAAAGAGAGAGACGCACATTGCCTCTTTAAGTATGCTGACCCCACTCTAAGTACACTTTTTAGGTAGATCAGCAAGTTGAGACAGCAACTGCTGCCGGCAAGCTCCCTCCATCGTGAGCCCTGTGTCTCCTCCCCTGCTCTGTGGAGATGGGGTACAGGAGCAGGGGGAGGGGGACACCCTGACATCAGCATGCCTCTTCCCCCCCACACCCTGCACTGCAAGCAGCAGGCTCGCAAGAGCAGCACACGGCAGTGGGGAGCGGGACACCTGAACTGCCGGCAATTGATAGCCTGCTGGGTGGCTGTAGCACAGGGAACTTAGGGGGGCTGCCGGTCCACCCTGGTTCCAAGCCCCCATCACTAGCTCCAACGGGCTGCTCTTCCTGCAAGCGGGACAAAGCAGGTGGCTGCCAAATGACATAAGAGAGCATTGCACAACTTTAAACGAGCATGTTCCCTAATTGATCAGTGATGTAACAACAAAACAACGTTAACTGGGACGACGTTAAGTGAGGAGTTGCTGTATCTGGGTATTTTAAACATAATGCCTAATAGTAGTACAGCTTTATTGAAGAGGACGTTCTCACAGTTGTCCCAAGATTGACTCTGAATTGATCTAATTTGCAATGGAAGTTCATTCCACAGTCCAGTTCCCTCAACCAAGCATCCTTTATCTCTGCCTCTCATTTTGTATTGGGTTTTGTAAATTACATTGTCCCAGAGGATTGGAGCTGTCTTGATGTGGCGTCATGGATAGAGATGAGGTACTGATGTAGTTAGCAGGGCCAGCTCCAGGCACCAGCGAAGGAAGCAGGTGCCTGGGGCGGCCAATAGAAAGGGGCGGCACTCCGTCCATTGTTGAGGTGGCATATCTGGGTCTTGGGGGGCAGGTCCTTCATGCCCTCTCTTTCTCTTCGGCGGCAGCTCAATTGGGGGTTTTTTTTTCTTCACCACTTGGGGCGGCAAAAAAAACTGGAGCCAGCACTGGTAGTTAGGTTGTGATCTGTTAAAATGTTGAAGATCGTTGTAGGCCATAGCCTGGAACTGGCAATAGAAGCAGACTGGAAGCCACAGGAGGGAGTGGTGCACAGAGGTAATGTGCTTATGGAAGTCTGCCCTGGTGAAGTAATTGGGGAGGGGGGGCATATTCATTCCGCACAGGTTGGATTCTCTGCATTGTATTCAGTCTCAGAGGCAGTGAGTTTGATAGTCCTGTCTGGAGGTGACAAATGCATGGATCATTGGCCAGCTTCTCATCTGGGAGGAAGTTTCCTAGCAAGCTGAAGATGGTGGTGGGTTTTTTTGCCACTGATGTTCTCCAATTATCAAGGCTTAGTGATTTGTTCAGGACCATAAAGCTTTGCACTAACTGATAAATGGAGGTCAGTGAACCCGGTAATTCTTTGGACAATTTTCCCCTTCTGGTCAGCATCATTTCAGTCTTGTGCATGTTTGAGCCAGCTGCTCTTCAAACAGGTGTTGGTCTCCTGTCAGCGTCCTTCCAATGTCCTTACAAGGGACCAAAAATAAGTTATACAGGTGCGTGCTCTTAGCATGTTGTCTATCATCAGAGCCTGTGGCCTCTTATAGATGGAGAAGAGAAGGGAGGCAGGATAGATCCTGGAGTGACTCTGCAGATGGGAGCTTTGAAGAGCTGTTACCCATCACCACTCTCGGGGGTCCTGTTAGAGGAATAAATAGAGCCACTGTGGTGTAGTTCCACATACCATCCTGCATGCATGGAATAGCTAGGGTTATACCTATGGCTCTCTTGAAAACTTCCAAGAGGTTGAGTAACATAAGTGCTGAGACAGGGCCTCTTTCCATAGCTGTGAAGAGGCTAATTACTTTGGTCCGAAGCCCAATTACAAAGCATCCAGGCTGGTGGTAGCTGTTATGTTATTGGAGCTTAGCTGTCAATTTTTTTGAGTGAGTTGGCCTAGGAATGAGAAGCTGCAGCTGGGGTCATCTGCTTTAAGTACTGGTGCTTTCAGGATCCCTCACTCAAGGAGAACTGCTATGGCGCCAGGCCTGGCTTTATACAGAAAGTTTCCCTAAGGCCATGGCAGTTTCGGGGTGGGGTGGGGCAGATCAGCCCCCCTCCCCTTCCTCCCTGTTGCTCCTGTATGCACCACCTCTCTGGAGACACAGGTGGGACACACAACACTTAAGGAGCAAGGTGAGGCGGGGGGGGGTGGAGGCAAGTGGCGAGGTGAGCAGTGGGTCGGGGGGCCTGCTGGGGGAGTAAGGAGGCAAGTGGAGAACCAGCAGCGGGGGGCTGGCTGCGAGCAGGGGAGTGGTGAGGCAAGCAGCGGGCGGGGGGGTGAGGAAGCAAGCAGTGGGTGAGGGTGAGGAGGCGAGTGGCAGGGAAGCACTGGAAGAGGAGTAAGGAGGCAAGCGGCGAGCCAACAGCAGGGTGAGGAGGGTGGTGGGGGTCTGGCTGCGAGTGGGGCAGTGAAGAGTGAGCCACCAGCGAGCAGGGGTTCTTGTGGTGGGTGGGGGAGGAGGGGGTCTGTGGCAGGGGAGCGAGGAAGAGGGATACAGGATGCGAGTGTAGGCACCTCTGCTCTCTGGCCAGGTCATGTTTGGTTCCACCCCTTTCAGTGTAAACCATGGTTTTCACAGAAAAGTCCCAGGACATCTCACTAGGTCAATGGCCCAGATCAAGGCCTAATAGTTTTTCTGGACCCTTGTAGCAAGTGGTTAAGGTCTGTCTTCTCAGACCTCTTGCTTCTTCCTTGGGCTGCTACTTCCTATACTGGCCCCGTATCTCCTGAGGGGGCTTGTATTCTGAGTGGGGGTCTGCCTTTCGGTCAACCCCCTAGTCCAAGTTCTCAAAATTTCAAAAAAAACTAAATGATCAGAAATAACAAGCAACACCACTTCCTCTCTCCTATCAGGATCTTCCAGCTACTGTCTTACCGCTCTGTGTTCACAGAGAATCTAATATAGCTTGACTCTCTGCTGTGCGACTCTCTGGGAGCTGAGGACGTGACGTCTGTCCACCTTCCCAGGCATGGCTCTTCTGAATTGGGCTTCTCCCTTTTTCAAGGCTCCTCCGAGATTGATATGCCTCGCAGGTGGGGCTGCCTGAGCCCAAAGCTGCTCTTTAATACCTTCTTGCCTGGTGCAGGGTTTGTACACCCTCTCACAAGTCCACTTTTTATATCAATATCTGTCTTCAGCTGTGAAGTGGGGATACCTGCCTAGTGAATGTTATGCTAATTAATGCTTGTACGGGGAAGAGAGATCCTCTGAAAGACTGTGTTATTGGCTGAGTGAAGTGTAGTCTAACACTTCATTTGATGGCATTTCTCTGCTGGCCAGCACTGAGGTTCTTTGGCAGAGTTGAAGGAATGCAGAGGTTCAGGACTGGCCGAGCAGGGGCTGCTTCAGATCAGGAGCTGTATTGGCTGAGTAGGAGTGAGGCTGGAGATTTGTGCCCTGGCTCAGGCAAGATCATTTACCTTTGCCCAGTCAAAATTGGTTTAGTTCATAAGCAGTGCCCATGTGGTGCTGCAGGCAGAGGATTCGCTGCTTGTAGCACCAAATAGGCACTGCCTAGGGGAGATACAACCAAGGCAGGCAACAAGGTTAGGGGCTAGAGTTGCTGGAGGGAGACAATGACATCAGATGGAACTCAGTCACAACGCTACTGCTCAGGCTCCTCTGCCTGCAGCACAAATGGGCACTCTCAAGGGGACGTCTTTGATATGAAACCAATAAAATAACAGAGCAGCAGCTTGGACAAATTAACAATAACATTTAGGTTTAGCAGCAGTATCCTGTAATACAGGTTCAGGGATAGAGACTGGAGGTCCTACTGGTTCGATGTGCATCAGCCATGCACTCTGCAAGCCATTACTGAAAATATGAAGTAATCTTGGCTTTGCCTCATTGTGTGGTCCTGGGATAATCAATGATTTATTGCCCTACCTCTAAAATGAGGAATAATGCTTACCTACCTTATAGGCATGGTGTAACGTTGCTTGTACACTGCTTTGAAAATTGGGAGTGTAATGTGTCTTGGAGCCACTATGCCAACATTGCATCAGTTCACAATTTGAGGCTCTTCACAATTTATAGATCTAAAGCAGTAGCTTCATCTATTTTTCAGATGGCATCCTGCAAAAAGATCCTAAATTCCCTTGCTCCACATCCTAGTATCTGTCAACACTGGAGTATAAACTGAATGCTCCATTTTATAACTATCCTTAAGTACAGTTTAACATGCAGTCCACAGCCATGAGCATGGACAGAGCTTGGAATTTGATTTGCCCACACCTGAGCATCTTAAGTAACTGATGTCATCTGGAGGAAACCCATGGTGCTTGTGGTCTCAGGGCCCAGTTGTGTGAAAGGGACAATTTATAAACAACTGCATTAAGAAACACAATTTTTCCACTGGTGGAGGAAAGCAGCCAGGAGCCATACTTGGATACAAAGCTGTATTTATATATTTCTTTATACAGGTATATTTACCTCCAGCATAAAACAAAGTCTAGATAAGCCAAACAAAAAAGTGGGGGAGTCCTGAGAACCAGCACCCCCAAAACTCAGCAAAATATAAATACAAATCAGAAAGAAAGGAGGGAAGCAGTGCTTAGCCCCCCGCCCCCCGAGCAAATAAAAACCAGTAATCATTAATATCTGCTCAGAATGCAACTCTACAAACTTGCTGGTAATATACAGTGATTAAAGCTGTGACAGCAACATTTAAACCAAACAAATTAGTGCTTTATTTTTCCTTAATCCTTGCAGTGGTGCCGCAGTCTTTATTTACAGGCTTTAAGCTTTAGAAGTAGGGCAAAAGATAAGGGAATTTGCTTTTGAAACAAACTCTCCCCCAAACAGACAAACTTTAGAAAGTGGCCCCATGTTCACACTTGTCATCCTTCCTTCCAGCTAAGAATGTCTAGAGAGATGAAGCTTCAGGTTTCCAATGCAGAGAGAAAGGGGAGCTCCCTGTCTGTGAGGCTGGAAACACTGGCTCAGAGCTCTCTCCGTCTCACACAGGGAAAAGCCTACTGAAACTCTTCCTGCTACTATTTTGGGAAGGGGATGGGGAGAAAACCCTCTTTAATTACAGGTGAGTAGAGCAGAGACTGCCTTAGGAGGCTGTCTCTAAGCAGCACAGTTGGTCACTGGCCAGTTGTTTCCATGGGCTCTGGTGCCATCATGTGGCCATTTCTTTCCCTAACCATTACAACCCTACTGTGAAACTCTAGTTCCTGTCTTGGAGGTACCGTTATGGTTTGGCTGACATGATCTGTGGAGTAGTTTGGGATGAAAAGCACTATAAAAGTAAGAAGTTTTTCTGAGAGTACATTCTGAGTCTAATCCTACTGTATTTTGTAAATATCTAAGGTATTAACTAATCACTGCCATCTTGCTTTAAAATAGTTGTAAATGTAGGACAGGCCTCTGGATTTTAATTATTCCTTTCCTTTTTGGAAAGGAGGTGAACTCACTACTGAGAAACTACCCAGCCATCGTCTTCAAGGTCCACAGCATGTGTTGTGCCTGTGTGTTGGCAGGAAAAGGAGATAGCCACTCCTGAACATCAGCAGTCACCCTGACCTATGCTTGAGCATCATGGGGCTACCTGGAATGCTATAAATCTTACTTAGAGCTACAACCTACCACCCACCGTTATAAATCTCCAGTGACTGCACTCAGTGGGTTGCAGCCTCCGTAGTGATGTGAAAGGCATCTGGGAAGACCCACAGCTGCCACCTCTGAGAACACCAGTGGGGGGAAGGGAGAAAGGGGATTTATATGGTGGTTGCAGGCAGGCAGTGAATTCAGCCTAGGGAAAGGTCAGCTCTACTAAATTAAAGCACAGGCAGTAAGTTCAGCTCTATTAAAAACACAAGAGGAAAACTTTGAGTGGGCGTGATAGTGCTACCCCTCACGTGAGCGGTCCCAGCAAAATCTGTGAGCTTGCTTACTGACTAGAGTTTACAAGATTGGGGCCAGTGATTGCCATATGGAGGACAAAAGCTGCCACTAAAGGAATTTCCCAGCTTAAAAACAAAGCAAAGTTCAGGGGAAATGGGGCGGGGGGACGTAATGTAAAAAGTGTACTTTGCAAAGAGTGGCAGTGGAGGATTTCCTGTAAATTGCTGGCAGGAATGCAGTCCTGTTGAGACTGGATTTGTGGCTGCTTCGCACTGAGGGACCACCGGCCCATCAGCCCTCTGTTCTCCCCTATTAGTTGCCTGGTGTAGCACAGAAAATGTGCCTCTTACTCGCAGGGCATTCAATACTCGTTCTCTGCAGCCGGTGTGTTTGAGTAGTTAGATTGCTAACACAGCTATGACTGCTCTGCTAATTGGCAGAGAAAGGAAACTGAAGAGCTGGTCTGAAACCACCCCTTCAAATAAAGGGCCTGATCCTTAGAGGAACCAAGTCTCTAGCTCCCATAGAAGTCACCAAGAGTTACAGGTATTTGGCCTGGGTGGGGGTAGTCACAGAGACAATTGGGAGTTATGTTTGCTATGCATCACCCCCAAAATAAAACGGAGATAAGCGTAGGCCCCCAAAGGCTGTACAGGAGCCATCTCTATTCGACTAAAAAAGCATTCCCTGCTGTTTTGCTGGGGGCAACAAGAATTGCAGCCATACATTCCTTACAGCTGGGACATGAACAGATCTTGCTCTGCTGTCTGGAATTCAGTGATTGTTGTATGTGTCTCCACTACCAGCAAGAAAAGAGAGTCATCAGAGTCCCTGCCACAGCTACCCCACCCCAGTTTGGTAAAAGCTGCCTACATCAGGTGATGGCGCTTTGCTAAGGGAAAAACACTTACGCCTCTGGAACCAGCTTTGTGCTTTGGTTCAGCATTGCAGAGTGGAGTTTCCGCTCTAGCTGCCTTGCTTACTCCTCCGCCAGCCCTTCCCTTTCTCTAGAGGCTGCTGCCACTTTCTTACAGAACTGGGCACAGGATTACCCTGGCACAGGTTCAGACTGCAGGAATGCAGAAGTTTCCCTCCCCCGTCGGTGAAAAGTGCTGGGGTGGGAGAAAGACACACACATACAAGAGCTGCCAAAGTCTGACAGGTCCCAGCTCCCGCAGCACCAATATAGCTGTCAGGCTGGGGTTCAGCACTCACCCCCTTTGGTTTCCTATGCAAGACACAAATAGATCAGTAAGGACAGAATTAAGAGGCCTGTTTTTATACTGCTTTAAAAAAATTCAGTAGTTTAGCAAGTTAAAACCTTGTAACAGTAAAATACCCATAATACACTCACCAGCTTACCCAGGGGGCAATGGGAGCCAGGCCTTGAGTGACCTGCCCCCTCCCCTCCTAGGGGAAATCGGTAGGGGGCCACCTTTCCTGGCAGAGACCTATTGGGAACAGAGCTGTATTCACCAGTAGGTGCAGTGAAATCAGTCACCTGAGTCTCCAGCAGCCCCACTCCCATTGTGCAGAGCAGTCTGTGCTGGTGGCCTCCCTTTGGCACCCCTGAGCACAGGCAGGCAGGGGGAACCTGGGCTTCAGGGCTATTCTGTGGGGCTGGCCCTGGGACCAGCCAGCTCTGGCTACTCTAGAGTAACAGGAACAGTCCCCACCCCAACCACCGAAATATGGGGTACCGCAACAAACACCTGCAAACTGACCCCTTAGAGAGATGTATTTGGGCGGGGGGTGACACTGCTCCCAAGGTGCCTCTTCTCCCCACTTCCTGGGCGGGGGGGAAATCAAGGGCAAGCCCTTGCCAACTGGCTGGCACAGGCTGACTAGGGGTTTTGTGGGGTTCTTAAATTCATCTGTTCAGGTCTGGTCTGCATGGAGTGTGGGAAACAGGGCAGGGAGGAAAGGGACCAAGGAGAACCCTGTTGCCTCTGCAGCCCCCACCTTGGCAGGGTTTCTCTCTGGCTGTCCATGTGGAGCATCGCAATGTCACCAGGAATCCTATGGAGTAGGGATGCAGGAGAATAGCCAGTGGCTGACCAGAAGGAACAGCAACTCCAGTGTATGACTTCCAGTATGTCCAGGCAGAGCCCTCTTTTCAGGATGGAATTCCAGTGTTTCAGTATTGACAAGAGCTCCAGTCTTGGAAGATAAATTCCAGTGTTGCAGAGAGCTGCTGCGTTGCTACAGGAACCGATAGGCCTCTCGGGCTGTCGTTCCCAGCCAGACCACAGTCCCAGCTCTAGAGCTTGGGACAAGCCTGTCCACACGTGATCCAGTGTAACACTTTCAAATCCAGTGTAGCAGAGGGAGGGAGACGGGTGCCAGTGTCTCCAGAAGGGAAGGAGATGGACACAGTTGCCCAGGATTGTGGGCTATGGTGTTTGGTTGGCATGTCCAGTAGATCCCTGGGGCTGGTTGTGTTGCTCCTGGCAGAGTTCCTATATTCCTTTTGGAGTACTTCAGTGTCTATATCGTCCCCAGGACAGAACCAAAGTAGCTCAGAGCCCCAAGGGGAAGGTGGGAGCAGAAGGGGACTTGGAGGTTTACAGAGGAAGGCATGTGGCAATCTGATAGGTTTCACCAGTCCCCTTCCTCTCTCCCAGCAAAGGGCACTGATGCTGCTGGGACTCACTCACAGAGCCAGTAAAACTGGAAATAATAGTCAGTGAAGAGGTGTCCCATGTGCTCCGGGGTGGTACTACAGTTGGCTTTGCCCTACGAAAGGGAGAGAGGGCTGTCAAGAGAAACTTCCTCAGAAGGAGCAGGATTCAGTTGCTATCCCACTTGTGCACTGGGGAAGTGGAGCATTTGCCAGCTAGATTTGCATATGGCCCCCATCACCTCCCAAGTGTTTTAAAACAGAACAACAATCTCAGCCTGTAGGAGTAAAGAGCTCCAGTTTTGCATTTCCCCTGCCCACCCCCATCCCTGCAGTGTGAGACTTGGAAAGTCCTGGCCACTCACCCCAACTAACTTCCCTCCTCCCACAATGTGCTCTGCTGTGTACAAGGGGAACCCGGTCACGATTTACACACACATCCCTGCCCAGAGGGGGGCACAGGGCTCTGGAATTCTCACAGGCCCCCTCATCCTGGCGAGTGATAGGAATGAGGCCACAGAGCCCCATCCCTCTCAGCTCTGCCCTGGATGGTGCAGAGGACATAGCAGGTCCCATACTCACAGGCTGGGCTACTCGGAAGTGGTAGGTGAACTCCCGGAAAGACAGCATCACCATGGGCCAACGCTGTGTCATTTCCTGGGGAAGAAGATACAACCGGTGGGGGGAGACAGAATGAACCTGTTACTACTAGGCGTTAAGTAATTCATCCCTTGGGTGAGCAGGGATGCTGCATAGTTAACTGGCCTGCTCCACTCATCAGGCTTCTGAGACTGTCCTGCAAAGCCGAAAAAGAACTGAAGTCCTTCTCTGCCTGTCTGGGGCTACAGTGCCTGGAGCTGAATGGGTGCGAGGGAACCCCAAATCCTCATCAGGCACCTGGGGAAGTTTATCCAGATGGACAGCTGTCTTGAGAACATAAGTTGGCTGAGACTACAGCAATCTGTTTGCAGAAGGGGCCGGCTCATGGCCATCAAGCCATAAAAGTGATGGATGAGGAGATGGGTCTACATGGGTTTGAATGGTGTAAACCTAAGGCTGCAAACCCTGATTATAAATCTCTGGCTGGAGGATCTGAATGTTAATTAGAAGAGCTGCACGTGGGACAGCTCTGAGAATGGCTCAGAAACCAGAGTGGCTCGATACCTTGAACCACAGATTTAAAGGGAACAACTGATGTCAATGAAATCTGTGGTGTGACTAAATCAGATAGTGCAAGCAGAGCTATTGGTGACCTGGAGGTGGATGGTACTGAGGGAACAGATGGTGCTAAGAGGATGTTGGCACTAAGGAAGACATTAACGCCCCAGCAGTGGGAGGCTCTGGAAGGGCAGCAGCAGGATGTGGGGAAAAAGAGGAGCTAACTGAAGCTAATGCAAACCCAGTGCACATGCACCTGTGTACAGGGGTGGGGAGATGGAAGTAAAGGGTATTCCATAGGAACGGAGTACATTCAAATAATCGACAGTGCCCCAGAAACTGGGGGGGTCTTACTGAGGAATTGGGGCCTATCATGCCACAGAGCGCAAGCGGCCCTGCTGACAGCCAGATTCATAGGCTTGTGTCAGAGGCAAGGATCATTCCCTCTCCTTGTGGGGCCAGAGACGAGGAGGCACCATGACACGAGGCAGCTGAAGCACCAACACGGTCTTGTGCTAAGGAAGGCAAAGACGTCACAGTCACCCGCACCAGGGCTAAAGGCCTGGGGGATCAAAATCTCCTATCTGAGAAACATCTAACTGGAGCCCAGTGAATGAAGGAGACTCAGGCTGCACGTCCTTTGAGAGATGGACCAGTGGACCCCACCACAGAGGCAGCCACCTCAGTCCTGTCAGCGACCTCATGGAGACCAGCACAGCTCTTTGAGGGAGACCCCTGAAGGAAAGCTCAGTGAGTCTAGCAGCTTCTAGATCCACAGGCAGAGAAATCAGGAGTAAGGTAGTCAGGGATTAGTTCCTCCTTCCGCCGTCCCTCTGGGAGCAGCTGCGCACAGCACAGAAGCTCACGGCCCCACCCGGGCAGTTTCCCAACCGTCCCGGAGGTCACACAACAGAGGAGGTAGCCCTGGGGAGGGGGGAAGGGAGCACGATTCAGTTTCACAAAGCAGTAGTTCTAGTAACCACAGTGTCAGTGACTCGTGTGTCAGCCAACTGGGTCTCTCCCTTTCTCAGACCCAGACTACACCACACCCTGTTTGCTCAACAAGAAGACAAAGGCTGCCAGGTTTGTCCCTAGCACCCCGTGTTGCTTCTCAGGAAGCCAGGCAGCTTGGGGTGACAGGGACCTTTACGACAAACCACGGGGGACCTCAAGGACTGTCTGGCTGCCCAAGCTGTGCCAGTCCTTTGAGGGATTGTGTGTCCCTACCTGGGTGTCTGTGGTGTTGGTGGAGCTGTCCACGCTCATTGTGTTCTGACATGGGTCACTGGACTGGAGGCCACAAAGGTAGATGGACACAGCAGAGGAGGCACTGGAGAGAGAGGTGAGTGAGTTCTGCCTAGCACCAAGAAAGCAGACTAGCCACTCCAACAGAACCCCAGCAGCTTAACACCCCATCCAGTTACCCCATAACCGCCTTCAGCCTCCCGCAACTCACTCGCTACTCTCAGTCACCCAAGAGCCTGCTCCTCCCATCCCACCATTCCCCCCAGAGCCCGCTCCTCCCCCTCGTATCCCTCCTTCCCACCGGTCCCCCCAGAACCCGCTCCTCCCCCTCACGCCCCTCCAATCTCACCAGTCCCCCAGACCCCACTCCTCCCCCTTGTGCCCCCCCATCCCACTAGTTCCCACCCCTCCGCCCTCAACCCCCTCCCTTTCCACCGGTCCCCCCCAGAGCCCGCTCCTCCCCCGATGCCACTCCCATCCCATCATTTCCCCCCCACACCCCTCCCTAACCACCGGTCCCCCCAGTGCCCGCTTCTCCCTGCCCACCGGTCCTCCCAGAGCCCACTCCTCCCCCTTGTGCCCCCCATCCCACCGGTCCCCCCCAGAGCCCGCCCCTTGTGCCCCCCCATCCCACAGGTCCCCCCAGAGTCCGCCCCTCCCATAAATCATCCCCCCCTTGAAGCCTTCCCACCGGTCCCCCGCAGAGCCTGCTCCTTCCCCTCGCACCTCCCCCCTCCCACCAGAGCCCGCCCCTCCCCCTCATGCCCCCCGATCCCACCAGAGCCTGCTCCTCCCCCTCACACATCCCCATCCCACTGGTCCCCCAGAGCCCACCCCTCCCCTCGTGCCCCTCCCATCCCACTTGTCCACCCCTCGACCGCCCCCCCCTTGCCACCTCCCCACCATCGGTCCCCCCAGAGCCAGTTCCTCCCCCTTGCGCCCCTCCCTTCCCACCGGTCTCCGAGAGCCCGCTCCTCCCCCTCATGCCCCCCCCCCACTGGTCCCCCCAGACGCCCACCCCTCCCCCTCGTGCCCCTCCCATCCCACTTGTCCACCCCTCGACCGCCCCCCCCTTGCCACCTCCCCACCATCGGTCCCCCCAGAGCCAGTTCTTCCCCCTTGCGCCCCTCCCTTCCCACCGGTCTCCGAGAGCCCGCTCCTCCCCCTCATGCCCCCCTTCCCACTGGTCCCCCAGAACCTTTGTGCCTGGGAATTTTTCCTGCCCTTTGTGCCCCGGAATTTTTCACACCCCTGCGTGATGTAGTTATACTGACCTAGTTTCCTAGTGTAGACCAGGCCTGAGAGAGACACGGAGCTTGAACCCTGGGGGTCACTACAGCTTAGCTAGGCTACCCAGAATGGACGCAGCTTTACCCTTCATTCCTCTGTACTAACCTAAGACCTTCCTATGCTGCGTTCCCACTGACTAATAAACCCAGCTGTTCTGACAACACCGTTTGGTGTCACAGCAAATGCTGGGTGAGGTGCATTAATCCCTGAAGGGTGGACACGTCTCTGCCAGGAGTCTGTCTGTGTGGGACTCGCTGAATGGAGCTCACAGCGTGAAGCAGGAGTGCAGAAAGCCCAGAGGTTCAGTCTGAGGAGGCGGTGACGCCGTGTGGCTTGCCCTGGAGGAAAAGCGAGACCCCTCGGGGATCTGGCCCACTGAGAGGTTCCTCCTAGAGACTGTTCCAAAGCTGGGGCATAGCACTGATCCTGTGGATCCGTGACACCGCCCTACTCTTGTATTTATTGTTACCCTCAGAATCCCTTTGAGTCCCCTTCCACTCACTGTCACCCTGATAAACCCCTCACACGCCCACCCACTGTAACCCTGGCTCTCGGACACCAGCGGCAGACAAGCATTTTCACTCACTTCATCTCCAAGGTCAGGTTGGTGTTCACTGCTGTGGACGGGCTGATGGGGATGCGGTAGGTGATGTTTCCTCTCCTGCGGACACAGACAGAGAATTCGATACCTCAGATGGAACCTTCTGTGGGATGGGCACTGGGTTCCCCACCCAAGCGGGCAGCACCCCAGCAAGGCTCTGCGGCTTTTGAGGAGCAGCACAAGATAGAGCTTGGGTAATTTGGCTCAAGAGATCGTTAATGTGAGATGCATCCATTCATCACCAGCACGCAGGTTCTAACACAGCCCATCAGGGCTGGATGGGCAGAGAATCCAGGAGAGGAGATGGAACCGCTCACCTCTAGAGCATCAACTCCAAACATGGCCCTATGTCAGCAGTGGCCCAGAGTCATTAGATGACTGGGAGCGTGTGTGAAATGGGCTAGTGGGTGTCTCAGTCCAGTTCCTACTGGGTCAGATGAGCACATCACAAACATCCCTGCAACTGACAATAACGGGCCTCCCCATTGGCAATTCCAGCAGAGAGGCCAAGGATTGACTAGGGGATGGAGACTGAGTGCCCCTCCCTGCCAGAGGTGGCCTATGCAGGCTGTGGCAGGCTAGCAGGGCAGCATGTGGGAAGCCAGAATTGCTGTCCCTGTCCTGTGGGTAACCAGAGGACTTCAGGAGCTGTCAATCTGGCACTCACTCAGCGTCCCGGGGGAGGCTGGGCCCTGCCTCTCACTCACCTGCATGCATCCCTGGCTGCACAGTAGTGGGGAGTGATGGCCATGTCATTCTCCACAATCCGGATGGAGCGGAGCGAAGCATCCGGCCCTGCAGGAAGGAGAGAGGTTACTGAGACGGGGAAAGGTGGCCAGAACTCCTGGGCTTAGAGAGTCAGAGTGGTTAGAGCTGGAAGGGACTGAGGCTATCCCTTCCCCCAAAGCCCATCAGTGCAGAGGAGTCACAGTTTTCTGCAGGCTCCCTGCTAATCACCTGGCCAGTTCTCCCCTGGGTAGGGTAAGTCCACTGCCCATTAGGTTTCCCTGGCAGACAGCACTTCCTACTGCTCAGCCTTAGGGATTAGGCCAAGGTTTTCTAACACTCGGCTTCCCTCCTTCAGTAAGTGGTTTTCAGAGGTGCTGCGTACTGGCAGACTCCAGGGACTCCAATGGCAGTTGGGGTGCTCGACCCCCCCGGTAATAAAGTCACTGGCTTTGGGTGCCTAGATGTGTATTTAGGTGCTTAACTTCAGAGGTGGGGAAGGGACTCTTGCTGACTCAGACTGGGGTTTCAGAGCAGTCTAAGGGACTTAGAGGTGCCCAACTCCCTTAGGTTCCTCTCTCCCCTTCCTTGGCCAGCTGGGACATGGAGGTGACTGTTAGCACTAGACACATGCAGCTCTCCTAACCTCACCATTGCTGCACCTTTCAGCAAGGGGGTTCGCTGCCCCCTTTCAGTGTGTTTGCACTGGGTCACCTGGTTGGGTTTATAGCCCAGATGAGGCAGTGCTACAGCTGCACCGCTCCTTGGGCCCCAGTAGCACTGATCCCCACTTTATACAGCTTCTTCACCTCCACTGCTTGGGGGAGGGCCACACCCAGGACTGGAACTCTCCCTCACAGACACCACTGGGGAGAGATACAAGGGTGTGTCTGACTCCAGGCCGGCATGCAGACAGTTCTGGGAGTGGCCATCCTTGGGCTCTGGTGCCATCATGTGGCTAAAGCCACATGTCTTCTCCATACAGCATTTCTTTCTCTCTCTCTCTCCCATTTACTTCCTTTGGTTTGGTTTGGTTTAGCAGAGAGAGGACAAGTTGGGGACGAAGAGTATGTGTGGGAGCCACACAGCCATGGGCCATTGGGAGCATGGGGCTCGGGTCTGGGCGACATCCCCCTGTGACCCAGGGAGCTGGCAGAGGACACAAGGGGAGCATAGGGTTTTACAGGGATCCTCTGGGTTGACTATTTGCATTATAGCTCACCGAAGGGTGGCACGTGAGCTCTTTATCGAGAGCCAGTAGCCTACTGGTTGTCAATCAGTGTGAAATGTATGTTTGGGTAATAATTAAAGAGTCACGTATCTATAGTAAAAATTATGTTCATAAAGTTTTGGAGTTACCAGGCCGGTTACCAGGCAGTGACATACCTCGGCGATGTTCCTTTCAGGCTGGAGGTAATAGACACCTAGGCTATCTCCCTGTCTGGCCATTTGTGTGTTGTGTGCTCACACGGTGTGCCTGGTTGCACACTAAGCCAGGTGCTAATCAAGAGATTGTAAAGTCTACAAGAAAGGAAATCTACCAGATGAAATGGCATTCAGTGGGGATGCCTGCTGATGAACAAAGACAAAGGATGGGACTGGTATATCATGGAGGGCAAAGAAACATAAAGGATCCTTCACCTAGGAAGCCAGCTGACAGTGTATTCGTCTCATGAAAGGAGGATACACAACCAGCCTGGCTTTAAAACTCTGCAAGGATTTCGGGCGAGCAATATTCTACAAGACTTGAGAGTATCTTGTGAATTAAGTCTTGGCTCTAGTATGCATATTATGATTTTGTTTATATGTAGCCATTTGTTTCCAATGCTTCCACTCACTACTACTTGACTCTTTTTGCTTTGGTAAATAACCTTATACTTGACTTCACTACAAACATATCCAAGTGCTGTGAATTGAGCGGAGCAGTGATCTGAGCTGGAACTGGTAAGATGGGCAGTACGGCTTCTTTGGAAGCAGCAAATCTGTGAACAATGCCAGTGCTCAGTGGACCAGGTGCTGGACACTCCAGGGAGATGCTCAGAGGGCTCAGGGGTTGGAGCATGCTAACCTGTGGAGGGCCTGGAAGGCCTACAGGGCAGTGCTTGTGTTGCCCATGGGATTGGGGACCTGACCCCCGGCAGGCACAGACAAGGCTCCCTCACACTAAGGGCAGGTGGTAGTGAGGTGCCTCACAACTCTGGGCACCGCTGGGAAGCGTCACAACCCAAAGTGCAAAGAGGCTGCGAGTGCTCAAGCCAAGAAGATGGAGAACTCCACACTTCACGGCTCCGCTGGCTGGGCTGCTAGCCCTGGCCTTTCCAGAAAGCCTCATCCCCAGAGCTGCAAAGACCCCTCATTCCCAAAGCGCTTTACAGGCATCGGGCAAAACTCAGCTCTGCTGTCAGCAGCTCCACTCCGCTGATGTAAGTGGCGCCTCAGCTCTGGTGAGAGACGGACAACGCACCAGAGAAGAACAACAGATTGGTCTGAAATTGG